GGAGGGATGGAGTTAGCAGAAATTTCAAAAAAATCAGTGACTCAAACAACTTGATTTTTTGAACAATTTTATTTTGGCAGAATTATTGAAATTAGAAGTTTTTATGGACCAGAATGATACGATCGGTTCCATCATCGGTGACGATGAAGGGATTTCCAGAAGCATTGCATTCGGATGATAGAAGGGTTTCAGTGATGGTCTGTAAATTGGAATTTTGTGAAAAATTCAGATTTTAAAAAATAATATTTTTTGCTAAACTTATATGTTCACTCCAAGCTCAGAAATATCAAAAATCTGTCAACTGATAAGTTATTGGTGGCGTTACAATAAACCAGTCCTGTTTGCCGCGCCTGCGGCGCTTCAAACATGTGGCTGGTGCGCCTTCGGCGCGATCTAAGCTAGATGTTTTGTCATAAGCTGCCCAAAACGGATGCTTACTGTATTTACTCTAATAGAATACATTTTTGAGTCTTTTTTCTAGGTTTTTTAACTGGAACTAGGCTGAAAATCGGAAAAATGAACCGAAAAATATATATATATATAAGAAAGAAAATATTTCAAAGTTTTTTAAATCGTCAATTTTTTTTAGTAAAAAATATACTTTTCTGTGTTTTTCCAGAGAATATAATAGAGGCAATAAAAGTACTCTGATCTGATGTTTTCATGCAAATTTACTCAAGAATTGAGGAGTGTACCGAAGGGAGATATTTCCTGTATTCTATTCCTTTTTCAATGGTTACAATAGTAATTAATTTATAAATCTTCACGTGAAAATTATTTATTTAGATCATCAATTATAAAAGAAAAATTACAAATTATCAAAAAACACAGAAACGAAGCAACTTCTTTTCTTTGTAGAAAAAGAAAGACACGTAAAAAGACAGAAAAGAAGCAACTTCGTTTCTGTCTTTTTCTGTGGGAGAGAAAATAATTCGAATTATTCCTGGTAACTACGTGAACTTTAACTATACAGAATTTAAGCTACTTTGAACATGGAGTTGAAGCAAAAACTCGAGAATGTGAGTTTGAGTGGTGAGCGGAAGGGATGGCGATTTTGAAAATTGGCGGCATCCACTGTGAGTACTTGATACGAAACTGTTCAGAGTTTCATTTTAGCTGCTCGATTACTTTTGAAAACCGTAAATGAATAAATAATTTTGAGAATGCGCTTCTCAGGAACCGAACGTCTGCCC